AGCACGAGAACTCATGGAGAGGATCCTGGCTCTCTGTCCTTCTCGTGTCAGAGAGGACGACAGTCTGCTGGGAAATCTACGAGGAGAAGCAGGGGAGTGTTTAAGGGTTGTTGACATAACGGCAGAGGGAAACTAATGGAGAAAGAAAATGAAACAAACAACTTGCAGTGGATCAATAGTTGTTTTAAAGGGGACAGATCAACGGGCGGATGGATTTGGAAAGCGGGTGCGTCAGATCGTAATATTGTACAATCCTTGACCTTTGATTTTCACTCTTTTGCTCCCCAGACATCATCGTACTCATCGCTTCCGTTGCCGTGGTTTCAGCCGGTAGCCAGGGTAACATCTTTGCCACCTCTGCGCTGCGTAGCCTTCGTTTCCTTCAGATCCTGCGCATGGTGCGCATGGACCGCAGGGGAGGGACCTGGAAGCTGCTGGGATCTGTAGTGTACGCGCACAGTAAGGTAGGAGCTCGGTGACGTCTGCTCCGTGTCTCCCCCCTCTGAACGTTTGTTGTTGAGAGACATCAAGAGTTCTTTATGCTGAGTGATATTACAGTAACAGAAAGGATGAGATTCAACATTGGTTATTAAAAAAGAAAGAGAGGAGTTAACGTAACATGCATGTTTGTTGCAGGAGCTGGTGACTGCCTGGTATATTGGGTTTCTGGTGCTGATCTTCTCCTCCTTCCTGGTTTATCTGGTGGAGAAAGAATTTAACAAGGAGTTTGCCACCTACGCTGACGCTCTGTGGTGGGGCACGGTGAGCACGCGCTCATCACACGGCACACAACATACGAAACAAACATTCATTGTCTGCTGAACGCATTTTCATTACAGTCTTGGTATAAAATTTTGATTTTAATTTCATTTGAACAAAAACTTTTCTCATGAATGAATAAATTACAGTTTTATCGTTGTTCTTATTCAGACAGTGTTGTGTTTTTACATTATGTGAGTTTTTTAATGAATCTAAAAAAGCTTTGTGTTGCTGGTCACCCTCAAAAATGACTGTTATCACTTTAAACAGCAGAGTTTTAAAAAAAACGTAGCTTCTTTTAATCCCAGACTAAATTAACGAAAACAGCAAAACTGACACCGGTGATATATTTTCATTTGCAGCCTCTGACCTTAATTATACCTGAGATACAAGACCCGACACAGAGGGGCCTTTAGAGTCTCACTTTGCTGACTGTACTGCTCCGTTACCTCCTGCATTTAGAAACCATTACACCAGGAAAACACACACACACACACACACACACACACACACACACACACACACCAAGAAATGGCTCAATCAATAAATTCAATTTTCTCCCGCTGACATGTGAGGCTGTGTACCCATGCCCGGTGGCCTCGGAGCATCCACCTCTCTGGTGGACAGTAAAAGCTGTTATGTAATCTCTGTTAAAAAAAACTAAAGTTTCCACTGACTCAAAAAAACTTCTCAAGGTGTAGGGGACACTGCAACAGCTGACAAAGGGAAAAACTGAGAGCTGTCACCGCTGCGCCCTGAGATTTAGAAATTACAGTCCAGCCTCTGAATGAACAGTCACATGACAGCTGCAGGAAATTCAAGACGCTGAAGCTGTGTATGAATTAGAGCCAGTTTATTTTAAGTTTGTGTTTTTACAGTAAACCAGCAAGTGTCTTACGGGAGCAGAAGAGAGAGAGTACTGTTTGCCTGAGTGTTGACCTCTGACCTTTCAGATCACCCTCACGACCATCGGCTACGGTGACAAGACCCCGCAGACGTGGACGGGACGGCTGTTATCAGCCGGTTTTGCTCTGCTGGGAATCTCCTTCTTCGCTCTGCCAGCTGTGAGTCAAACACACACACTGGTTCAGGAGATAGAGCGGGTGGTCCGCTAACCCGAGAGTCTGCTGTTCGATCCCCGGCTCCTCCAGTCTGCATGCTAGAGCGTCGTTGAATCCCAAACGGCTATTCTGACAATGTTTGACGTGTGTGTGTGTGTGTGTGTGTGTGTGTTCAGGGCATCCTTGGGTCAGGTTTTGCCCTGAAGGTGCAGGAGCAGCATCGACAGAAACACTTTGAAAAGAGGAGGAACCCAGCAGCCAGCCTTATCCAGGTACACACACACGCAGCAACCAAACACACTTCACCTTCACCGATGGTTTTATCTTTCACAGCAGCAGCTGAGGACCAGTGTGTGTGTGTGTGTGTGTGTGTGTGTGTGTTTACACTCTTTACCCTCTGATGAGTGTGTTTTTATCATCTCCTCCTATCAAGTGTTCTGAATATGAGTAGTATTCAACACTGAATACAGTAAAACACTAGTATTCAGTGTTTTTCCCTTCTCCGCACTGTCGGGTGTGTAGCTAATTGTGCGTGTGTGTGTGTGTGTGTGTGTGTGTGTGTGTGTGTGTGTGTGAGGACCGCTGTCGTCTCTTAAGTTCCAACAGCAAAAACACACTGCTGGGATTTATGAGCCGTTTCCATGGCGATCATTCCCTGTCAAGAGCAGCAAGTGTGCTATTGTGCATGTGTGTGTCTCTTGTGTTCACATGTGTGTGTCTCAGAACATGTGTGTGAGTCTTTGTATCTGAGTGTGTGATCTGTCCACTTCACGTCCCAAAGAAAAATCCAAATTCGTACAATCCGAGGCCAAGTGATTTCAGATAATCTATAATTTATGAAAGGACAGATCTTAGCTTCGTGTCAGACCATCGTGTGTAGCAGCGGTTTGACTTTTATTAAACCTGAAGAGAGCAAC